GTAGTTCTTTTGGCTAACACTGAGACGATAGTAACCTCACTCAGATTTTGTAAACAGTTGGGCTTGTAAATGCCAAATCCTCAAAACAATGTTCCTTACATTGGGTTTGTCTTTAGATTTTTTATGCCTTTAACATCTATATACTTGAAGAAAAGAAAAAAGCAAAGAAAACAAAATATGTTAATGTTTGCTGTTCATCTTTCTTGAGTACAAGACAGCTGCTCCCCACTGTTCCCTGTACCCTTCTAAAAAAATCTCGTTATATGAGAGTTGTGAGGTTTTGTACATAAGATACACATATTGGGGTTTTGTTTATTAAAAGGTTTCAGTTAAAAATAATGGATAACAATGTTTGTCTTTTTAAATATAATAACATTTTTGTGCATCACCCTGCAGTAATCGCATTGTTATGACATCTCTCAACAGGTGGAGATTGAGAAACTAGATTACCACCATTACCTCCCATTGTTCTTCGATGGTCTGTGTGAAACCGAGCACCCTTATGAATTTTTTGCCCGACAAGGTGTACATGACATGCTAGAACATGGAGGATCTAAAATCCTGCCTGTTATTCCTCAACTTATAATCCCCATCAAAAGTGAGTATTTATATTGTTAATGTGTTCTTATCACACTTATGTACTGCTCCTGCCTCAAGAAAAGCACTCAACTCTGTTTGCTCCTGTAGTTTTACAGAAATAGGAAAATATTTAGTGCTGCTCACGTTCATTGCAATAGCCACACAGTCCTTCATTCACATTTTAACACCTTTAAACTGTAAATGTGGTCCATAGTGACTTTGAATGGCTGTACAGAAGCACTTTCTGTTATATCTATGAGATCCAGGAGGGCTCACTTTAACTGTATTTTTTGCAATGCCAAAGGTTACATGATACTTTGAATACTGATCGTCATGTAATGTCTAGCCCATTTTTGACTTGGAAAACTATTTTGTGTATTGCATGGTATAACTTTTTAATGTAAGCGATTCCAGAAAATTTACATATTATAGACCATGATCTTAGTTTTTCTTACAAACTTTGATACACAAACATAATTCTTGTAAAATGAAAACATTGATTTCTGCTATTATTAAAATCTTTTTTGTCTAGCAAAAATCAAAAGAACCCCAAAAGGTGTACATGAAAACCGTAAAGAACACTCTGACTCAGACAATCACAATGACATTAAAGATAAGGGTATGAAATTCCCTACCTAAATCAAAGCCTCAGCTCGGAAACATCAAGACACTTAGTGGTTAGCAACCAAAAGATTTTTTTGTTTGTTTTTTGTAATGTAGGTGTTTGTCATCTCCATCAACTCAGTTTAGATCGTTATATATAAGCAGGCTGACTTCCATTCCTGCTTTTCAAGGCAAACCTGGACTGGGAGGGATACACAACATCCAAGCAATAAGGCTTAAGATACTTGATAAAAAATAAGAGGAAAAGACCAGACTTTCTTTAAACATGCTTGATATAATACTGTGTGCTCTGATTACAGATAATAATACAGATTTAAAAAATTGTTTGATTTTGTAAAAAATCAACTTCCAAATAAGCACACAGAAAATAACCTCAAGGTACAGCTTTCAGTCCCTCTACAAGATCTGAGACTGAAAGAAAGTACAGTAGTCTCCGCCTAAACACGCACGCTCCGCTCAAACTCATGCTTTCGTCAAATGAAATGGGTTTTTTTAACTATTTTAGACTTACAAATGCACGGTCACATCTTCTAAACGTACGTTTTGGCCCGCGAAAACAAGTTTAGACTACCGAATGTTTGGTGAGACTGCCCCACAGGCAGAACAAAGAGAGGGATGGACAGCGTTTTCCCACCCAATTTTCCACAGATGCATAGGTCTAGGAAACGTCGAATGATATGTTAGGGGTGGCGGGTTGGGGGACTGAAATGGTTTTTTTGATTGGTTACTGCATACATAGAGGGTGCGGTGGCGGAGCGGTGAGTGCGCTCGTTTCTGAAGCAGAAAGTCCAGGTTCGAGCCTCGGTTCGGACACTGATTTTTTTCACCCCCTCCTTCCCACCCAGCAGTAATGGGTACCTGACTTCGAGTAGGGGAAGTAAAGATGGCATGGAAAGGAACTGGCCACCCTACCACAATATGCCAAAGGCTTAGGAAGTGGTCTCACTAACAAGGCAATCCCCAATGTCTGGATAGGATGCGGGAACAATTTTTCACTGCTTACGTAAGGTTGAGTCAGGCCTATGATGCGCAACATGCGTGAAGGCTGTAAAACACTAGATAGGCCTCTACAGGATTAAAGATTGGTCAAGTAATCAGCTACGCTCAAAGAAGTTAAAACATATTTGTTTAACGAATCAAAGAAAAGTCTCTCAGAATGTCTAATTCTGATGTCATCCATGAATTAGCAATAGATGACAGGCAGTCGGGAGTGGTAGCTTGGAAAGCTGCGTGGCTGAGGGCTATCACCAACAATTTCCTTTTATCTGTTCCCGACATTTTATAATGCTTCTCCCCC